AAAATAATGTATGGTTCATAACTGTTGAACCCTTATCTCTTGATACCCCATCTTAAGCCTTAACCATTTAGACTAGATTACTATTAATCATTTAATAAATAAATATTTTATTAACCCTTTCTAATCGGATTTACATTATTATCATCTTTTTATCAAAAGAAAAATTATATTAATTCCCACCCCCATTCGTAAAAAACTAAAACCCGTCATCTAACTCATTGTCCCATTGATGACCAGCCGTCTCCGGCCAACGGTAGAGTACTCCACTGTCATTATATGCCTCAACAACAATTGATAATCCAACCCCGAACCTCATCTCATTCCAATCGACTATCATTCGATGCATGTAAAAGAAAGAGACTTTTAGGCTGTCTCGCCATTAATCTCGACCATCAATCATAGTTCGACGTCATCGACCACCCCAATAGAAGCGTCATCGAAGCTCGATCAATACCAAGTAGGTTGATCATCGAGGGTTGTCTCTGTTCAGCGTGAGAAACCGTTCAAAGTCCGTCAGAGAAAACCAAGGTTGCGCCTCTATTTTTGATCAATTTCAGTCGCCTCTGTCATTGGTTTACCTCACAGTCACCACGTAAGCTCCCCATCGCCGTCTGATAAAACCCAATCTTTGGGTCACTTTTTTATCGCCGTTATTATTGATCAAACTGACCTCGTCGTCGTAGTCATGCATCGTCATACGCCGTCGCATGCGTGTGGGGCTCTTCCCCGATCATGGAACCTCCTATAACTGATTCGAGTAAACTCGAACTGAGCTAAGTTAACTCGGACCGAACTGAGTCAACCTGAACCAACTTGAGTCAACCCAAACTGGTCTGACCCATTAACTTTAACTTGAATCGTTGACTTTGACCTGACCATTGACCATACTCGTTGACTTTAACTTTTACCAATTTGATTGTTGACTTTGACCAAAAAGTTATTTTTTTTGAAAAGTCATATTTTATGTTTTTCGACGTCCTTAGTCCAAATCCGAAGTACTTTTGTCAAATTTTAACTCGAAAGCCTCTAAAATGACCTTTTTAACCTGAACGTGCATATGGAACTTAAGTAATTTAATTAAGTAATTTTAATTTAACGGTCAATGACTAATTTACGTTATCGTTTATTTAAGGTACCCACGATTCTCTTGATCGTTCGTATGCTCGACCCAATTCCTCTCGATTCACTCGACCGTGAGAAGTCGTGATCACTCATATAGTTTTATAACCCTATTACATACTTTGTTTAGTATACTACTCCAATGATAACATTGTTTTGTTATATCCTAGGTTCGTGTACTGCTGAAGAGTGTAGTGAAGCAGGTGCTCGAAAGATTTCTTGGACTGACCACTTTTTGCGAGGTGTGTTCCTTTTGTGCCATATACCTATTTTAAATATATGTTTGAAATACCATATGCACATGATTATTTTCTCTAATTCGATATGTATTGTTTGATCTGATTTGACTATCGTATGGTTTATCTGATTTAAGCCCGATTAATGATTTACTGTATTTTAAATCATATGAGTTTGACACATGTTCTTCGTTACTATTTTTACTGATAAGTAAATGTATGTTTGGACTCTGATTTCCTACTATTGTTTATTGTCTGAAAATTATTTTCTTCGAGGTACTCTTGGATCTGGTATGCAACCTCTGGAGGTTTAGCTCCGATCAAGCTAATAATTCCTTATGGACCTAAGGCGACCATCAGGTGGGTTCCTGGGCCTAATGGGCCTAGTGGTAAGACCTTATGGACCCTGAGGTACATTCTTAGGGTAACTCCTTTGCTTTGTGCATTGGGTAAGCCCTTATGGGCCTGAGGGCACTCCCCTCAGGTGGGCTTCTACTCTTCGACTAGGTTAAGACCTTATGGACCCAAGGAGTTCCCTTAGGTTGGCTCCTACGCCCATTTGGGCCTAAGGTAAGTCCTTATGGATGTAGTTCTGGGGAACTGCATATGATGTTCCATTGGAGAGTAATTCCGTATTTTAAACTAAAAACTCTAATGATGTTTTCATATCTTTGATAATGAACTGGTTTTGAAACTTAATTGTATGTTTTATTTATGTACTGTTGGAACACACTGAGCCCCCTAGTTCACTTCCTAAAACTTTTCTCTTTCAAATATTTTTAGATAGGCAACCCGGACCTAGCACTTGGAGGATCAACACATTCGTACAATATTATTTTATTGTAATGTTTTAATCTTCTGAACTGCTTTTATTTCGGTGACACGTGCCTATATTTTTGAAATACTTGTTTTACGACTTATACTGCTTTTTCTATTGATATTAGGTTTACTTCGATACTGATTATGAAATATTTTATTTTACTCAGTCATTTATGGTTTATATTACTCGTTTGGACTTTATTGTATTTAATTATGTTTCTAAAGATGTTTATTCATAATATGGTTTTAAATTATCGAAAAGTGCTTTGAAAATTTTTATTGTGATCTGCTAGATCTAGTTTTATCGCATAGGTTGAGTCTAGGGGGTTACAGTCACTCCTATAATAGAAGTAATATCTTAGGTCACTTGATTAAGTGAGATTAGAAATATATGGTCATGCTCAAATTAATTGATATGAGATATTTTATTTATTTATTATATTGTACTCAAGATATCGTAAAACATTAAATATACCATACAAGTGTGGTTACTCCATTATTGAGATAAAACGAATAACAATTATTCTTAACAATTATCTCAAAATCAATTTTGTCCAGACCAATTAAAATGATATTTTTAGTTAAGTTAGACACAAAATAGCAATACTCTAAACATATATCAAGTCAACTATATAAAGATAAAACATAAAATTCAATAGCTTATACAATAACTCTTGCTCCATTTCTAACTCCAGGTCCATATCTCCTTTAGTCAGATTAACACTTTTTTGTAATTACTATATAAAAATAAAAATATAAGAATCACAATCGTTATCTAATACCTAGGAAGTATGTTTTGATAAATTAATGTCAATAACATAAATACCTGAAATGAAGTATGTTTTGATAAATTAATGTCAATAACATACCTGAAATGAAGTATGTTTTGATAAATTAATGTCAATAACATAAATACCTAAAATGGATGCTCTATTTTCTTTTATCTCTTTGACTTCTTCAAAATAGACAGAGAATTTCCTCCATAGTGTCTAGTTTTACCACAATAGAAATATCTTTCTTATTTAGAAATTTCCCTCTTAAGTTTCCATGCATCTTTTTCTTTGGGTTTAAGCTTGACATTACCTTTATACATTGTCATAGCCTTAGATTTTACCTATCTTTTTTTCTTGCGGACCATCAAAATGACTTAAGTTTAACATTTATCATGTTACTCTCAGTAGTTTGTAACATATTGAGTAATTGTGACAAAGTCTTATCGATTTTATTCATATTGAAATTCAAGATAAATTGATTAAAATTTTCTAAGAATGATTATTGGATAATATCGGTGACCAACTTATCATCAAGAGGGAATCTCAACTTTTCAAGACTTTTATATTATCATCTTGAGAATGTGAGTTCTCACTAGATTTTCCTTCGCTATTTTGCATCAAAACAACTCTTTAAAAGTCTCATATATTTCTTGGCGTGCTTGTTTCTCATACAATTATTTAGAGTGTTCGATCATCTAATAGACAATCATTTCCTCATATTGCTTCTGAAGCTCAAGAGTCATGGTGACAAGCATTAGAAATCTTAAGTCCACCATGGCATCTATGTATTTATTATATGATTGCTTAGTATCTCCAAAGGCGTTTGTTTGTGGTTCTTTTGGAACAAGTTTTTCAATGACACTTGACTTCTACTTTTGTTTGATGATAATCCTCAAATTCTGAAACCAGTCAAAAAATTCAAGTCATTCAATTTATATTTTTAAACGACCGATCACAATGATAAATACGTTTATCAAGTTTATTTAAATCATTAAATGACTTCATTAGATAATGCTCTCATTATTTCCATAAAAATAAATAATTTATTCAATTTATAAATTAATAGAGATTTTTAAAATATTTAAATTTAATATTTTAACTTACCTAATGTAAATTAATATTTTAAATTAATAGGAAGATCAAAATATACTTTGTAATATAATAAAAGGCTATAATAGACTTTAACCTAGGCATTCCTTTAAGGCTAATTCGTGTTTAGCGAGGTTATTTATTTTTTATTTTTCTTGGTGCGATCTAATCTACGACTATGTTATTATTACTTATCTGGTAGTGGAAGCAGTTGTTGGTTTTGTTGAAGTATCCCAAATCTCAACAAAAACACTACTCTACAAATAACCATATTTTTACTTTGCAAAAATCTTCTATCTCGTAGTTTATTCTTTTTACTTCAAAATGAAACGTTCGTAACAAAATGACTATTTAGTCAAACGTTAGAAACATTTTTTATCATCATGCCTTTAGATTCTACATACGAAATTGGAAGAATTGGTATAAATTAGGGGGCGTTAATGATATTGTACACTCCTCTTATGTACGTTTTCCCATAATTTACCATCAAATACACTCTTCTGCTTTCTCTTGATGCTTTCACTCTCTCCTGTGTTGAGCAGCCATTCAAAGAAAATGGATGTCTCCAATTCCACTGTTTGATCATCCTCTTGTTGTTGCTATTCATGGTAAACACGTCCATCCATCATCTATACTTCATTTTATGCTCTTCTTTGTTAGCTGTTTCTAATCTATATTACTCTCTACTTGCATATATAACACTTGCATGGTTCTCATCTTCCCTTCTTAGTTTACCTACTCATGGTAATGAACTTTGCAGATATCAGTTATGGTTTTTTTTTTTTTTTTTTTGAGGTTTGGACTGAAACATCTCTTTACTTATCTTCATTTTTCCTTTACCTTGTCTAACTCTAACATCTCTTTCTTTATGTTCTTTTTTGGTTGCAAAATTTTTGGGTTGTGTATTATATTTATAAGTATTCCTCATGTCCCATAAAATGCAGGTGAAGATTGTTCATCTGAAGAAACGTTGATTGGAGTGACTGAGTCAAGTGCTTATATATACTGTAGAACAGCTTTCTAACTTAATAATGAAACCCACAATTGACCTGGAACTTGATGCCCCAGAAGTGGAGTTGGATGTTAGCAGCCAAGTAGCTTCAAATTTGTCCTCTAATGATACAAATTCAGAGCCAGTACCACTTGATTTAACTCTGTACTTCAACAATATCCATGGCCATGGGAGACACTCCGTAGGACTCTCATTGTCAAGCACAAGCGAAAGCATCAATACTGACCCTGCAACGGCCTCAGCCTCGGCCATGCCTCGAATTTTCTCCTGCAACTACTGCCACCGCAAATTCTTTAGTTCTCAGGCTCTTGGAGGACACCATAAAAGAGAAAGGACGTTGGCGAAGCGGGCGATGATAATGGGGTACGCCGGTCTCAGTCTCACGGCTCTGCCTCCGCTTGGCACGACCTCCTCCTTCAGATCATTGGGGATCAAAGCACACTGTTCGACACACCAAGCCTTTGCAGCGGCACCAAGAACACCAGATACCAGATACAATGGTATAGTGGAACATGGTTATCTTGGTGTCCCAATCTACATGGAAGATGATGAGGCTGAGCCGTTGTGGCCTGGTAGTTTCCGACAGATAGCTCACTCAGCAACAGCAGTAGCAGGTAGTAACACTGATCATCCAGGTTTTGTACTACCTGGAACTTCAAATATGAATTTTGTGGAGGTTAATGAACCAGTGTACTTGGAAGACAGTTCAGCTCCAGATTTGACCTTGAAACTTTGAGGATTTGCCTCTTGGAAAAAGAAAAAAAATTGTTATGCCTCTATAAATACGTTACCAGAAATGTTAATATTTTTTTAATATTTTTGGTAAAACGCTATCTAAAACATTATTTTTTCTACTGGAAATATTATTTTCGCTACCTAATTTTCGGTAGAAAAAACAATATTATAGGTGGTGCTCAATATTAACATTTCTGGTAGAAAAAATAATATTTTAGGTAACACTTTACCGGAAACGTTAAAAATTATAGGTAGCGTCTAATATTAATATTTTTAATAGAAAAAATAATGTTTTAGGTAACACTTTACCGAAAATGTTAAAAAAATATAAACATTTTCAGTAACGTATTTCCTTAATTATATATTAAGACTGTCGTCCCTTAAACGTATCCCGACAAAAAAAAAGTTTATGTATCTTAAAGTTTAATGGGCACCAAACCCAAGCTTAATTTAATGGGCACCAAATTGTTTACCATTCCACCAAATTGTTTACCATTCCACCAAATTATGTATCTTCAATTTGCCAGAACAGGCTTTCCCCTTAGCCTTTTTAAATATCAATGTTGAATATATTCATATTTACTCAACTCCCATGTGGTATTCATTAGTTAATTTTAGTAATTCCAACGTGCATTTAATATATAACATGAAAAATTAATTTATTTATATATTTTCGTACCAACAATTAGTTGGCATAATGAAATGAAATATTAGTTTCTTTAAGCAATGTCAGGAGTTTGAAACCTAGCATTTGCGAATGAACAATTAATTGAGAGGATTGCCTCATAGTAGACCTCTACAAAATTCAATCTGGATTAATCGAACAAGAGATCAGAAATCGACGACGATCGACTCCTGTCTTGAACTTACAATAACCTTAGAATAGGAAACTTACCCTAGAATCCGATCCAAGCCCGGATGAAACCGTGTAAAAGCCGGTCCACCATCTTACAAGCCTCAGATGACAGGTTAGTGGAGTCCATCATTCAGCTCCATCAGACAAGAATTGTACTTCCATCTTTTGCTCAATACAAGAACGTATGTGAATGATTAGAGAAAAAGAAAGGTGTGTTATGAGACTATAAAAAGGGTTGATCATTCATGCTACTCTGGTCTACAACGATCATCTCCTAACAGAATTTCTAGCTCGAGCACGAGCTGTAGCAGATCCATAAGGTCCATTGTTCGGAGATGTTGCTCGTCCATGTGGCGGAGCAAGACTTCTAGCTGGTGTATCATAGGTTGCATTCCTAGATGCATCATTTGCACCTCCTCTTTGACCATCATAACTAGGCCCTCTCTGCACATCGTAGCTGGGCATGCTGTGTGATTCATAACCGGTCCCTCTCGACACATCATAACCAATTCCTGTAGCTATGTCATTAGTAGCTCCTCTAGACATCTCGTAGCCAGTCCTTGTAGGAGCAGGTACAGATTGAGCTCCAACATAAACAGCTGCACCTTCACCAGCACCTGTATTTGCACCGGTAAAAGCTGATGGTAGAGGACCGTGTCTCTGAAATGCACAATGAGAAGAATGTCATTATAATCTGTAGCATAGAATTAACTAACTCAAAATACAATCATCATAATATTGAATCAATAACTTCAGAAAACGTATTTTATCCTAAAATAGCAATAATTTTGACAATTAAAAATCTAATTGTGTCTGCGCATGTTTTTTTTCGTGTAGTTATTCATACTCGCAGTTGCACACATACAACCTATTTGTGTTTCAGCACAGAGATTTATGCCAGCAACCCTATAAATATTTCCAGGATTGGTTTAGGAAAGAAAGATGAAATCTCAAACTATAATTATATGCACCATATAAAGCAATACACAAAATCACCAGATTCTTCCTTTTTTTATTAAAAAAAACAGATTCTTTAAGAATATCATATGATTTACTTTTCTTAGGAAAGATTTATGCCATAAAAATAAACTTTAGCAATACACAAAATAACGTGACTTCCATTTACTTTTCCTATAGGTTTAGCTTTAACCCTATCTGTGAATGATGTATGACATAAAACTATAGTGTTCAAGCAAAAAAAAAAAAATCAAAAAGAGTCTTGAAGGAAAAACCATCAAGGAATATTACACACACCTTGTGAATACCATATCCAACTCCATAAGCATTTTGTCCAACTGGATGCCCAGAAGCACCAGTCTCATTGTTTCCTGTGGCAATACAATAGTGCCCAACTGCATTCGCTTGCCATATACAGGCCATCTACCGAGTTAATACAAAGAAGGGGAAAAAGGAGCAGAAGCAAAAAAACATCAAGAAAACAAGATCAGAACCAAAGAATACCAGTTCTGCTGTCAACATTAGAAGTATTCACCAGTTCCGCTCTATGCTTCTCCACTTCCCTAACCATGGACATATAATTTTTTTTCCATCACCTGAAGTGATTCAAGGTGATCATTGTAGAACTTCTTTTCATAGTCAAATGTAGCCCTGCATGAATCATGAACAAGAATAGATAATCACATAAATGTAATGCATTGAACTTCTCAAAACAGATCCAAGAAGGAAGATCTGAAACACTATAAACCAAACGACCAGACTCGCTCGGTTAGGTAAAAGATGAGATAACTTTTTAGAAAACAAAAAATCTACAGTGAACTTTAAAAAAAAAAAGACAAGTTTTAAATATTAATTTCCTGTTGAATAGCAGCCTCTCCTTTAAATCGGTTTCAACTTTGCTCCCAAAACACCCATAGGCAAAAGTGCTCACACACAAAAACAAAAGACCTGCAATGCTGATATTCCTGTTTGAGGCTCTCAAGTTCTCCAATCATAGCAGGTATTTGTTGCACATCTACATGGGCTCCTTGGATATCTTGATTTAATTGATGCACTTTGGACATAAGTTCTTCCCTAGCTAAAACCAAATTTTGAGCTTCAACATGTGCCTTCTGCAACTCTACCTTAACTGGTTCAGCTGCTTTCAGTTCAGCTGCTTTCAGTTCAGCTTCCATCTTAGCCATTTTATCTGCAAGGCTCTGCATTTGCTGTTCTCTTTCAGATGTTATGGCTCCAATCTGAGCATGCAATTTATGCAGCTCATGCTGTGCAGCAGCAAGTTCCTGTCTCAACGTCCCATGGGTAGCAGCAAGCTTCTGGTTTTCCGAACCAAGTCTCTGCATCTCCACATGCTGTTCAGCAATCTTTTGTTCCATGATTTCCGGAGGTGGCAACATATCAAAAGGTGGAAAAGGACATGGTTGAGGCAAAATTCCTGGACCAAATGGGTCAGGATGCACAGGGCCAGGGCCAGGGAGAGGACGCTTCAGATGAGGGGGTGGGATTTGACCTTTGCTTCCCATTTTTACTGGCTACTGTACAACCTGTGCAACGAGATACAACTTATAAGAGCATTCTCCTCTGTGACTTGCCTAAAAAGAAGCTACTTGAAAACTACTCATGTAGCATCTAATGGGAGTAACATTTGGATATTGACGCAAAACTCTGGTAATTTTGTCCATACATCTACAAAATCCAGAGCAATACCGTAAAGGAACAATAAATTCAACAGAACTCAGAGATGAATTTAAATTCAATGAAAAAAGATTAAGGACAATTCAATGCATATCGAAACTTATCATCAACAGGGATGGACCGAGGGGTGTTGGAGGTCAAATCCCCTGGAAATTTCAAATTCTCATATAGTTTATATATTTTTCTTTGCATTTTCTATTGATAATCTAATCTCGCACCCCCTAAATTTGTAATATTATACTTATCTTTCGACTCCTAATTAGAGGTTTAGACTAAACTTAGGTGAAATGAGAAGTAGATTTGGGACTGAAACTATAACTTGTTTTAAATCCCAAACCCGTTTCCAAAATTTCTACCATAAACCTTAATTATCCAATGGAAAGCGAGGAAGGAAATAAAGGGGTAAGAAAGGAAAACGATTTAAACTAATTGTTTTCTTCTTTTTGTTGCCTTCCTGGTTCCAAGACTTTGCCTTGACTAATCCGAACCGACCTGTGTGTCGCACACCTGACTTTGGTGGGTGAATCTCCCAACAAAGATTTTTTGCATACACAAGGACCCGAACTCGAGACTTTGCTTAAGCGATATCAAACTGGTTACCACTTGAACCAACCCTGTTGATAATTTATATTAATTGTTGATTTACAAAGCAAGACGTGCTACTTAGTACTTCACCATTAGATTTAACAAAAAAATGATTTTCCTCTTTCTATCCTTCCTACCTACTAAATGAAGCCTAAAAACTCCTTATCTCTAGAGTAGAGAGTTATCCAATCTGTCCTGAATCAAAATATCCTTTCGCTCTGTAAGGGATAAAAATGTTAATAAAGAAGCATATCATTCAATCCAAATAAAAGTAAAACACAGGCGATTTATCTTTCGTCAAGCGGGAAACATGAAATATTTATCTTTCTATGATCAAATTTTATGCCAACCGTTAAGTTCAATTTAGGTTATTTCTTTATTTCTAAATCTCGAAATATCAACAATAGAGAGCAGAGTTCTGATTCAGCCAACTAATAATGTTTTTTTCAATTCAATTTAGTTTAAGCTAAACCCAGAAACAAGTAACAAGAACATCTTCGATCATTTGAAATACAAGAAAAAGAAAAGGGGAGAGAAATAAAATCGAGGCAGGACGTGGGGTTTGGGAATACCTGTGAAGAAAATCGCCGCTAATATTGTTGCAGGAATTGATTTGCAAGGTAATTGCTGGGCTCAAATATTTATTTATTTATTTATTGGGTAAAGTACATAAATAATCCCGATTATAGTATCTTGTTTTATTGAATTCTTAACTATTATAATACAAAATGGTTTTTTGATTATATGACACTATTTTTTTAAGTCAATCAACTATTAAAAATTATAAAATAATCGTTGATTATTTATATGTTTCAAACTAGTGTTTTTTTGTTAAAAATTGACCGTCGCTGAGCTAGACGTTAACTTGTTGATTGGAATATGATAAAAATATATTTTAATGATGTTCATTGACAT